TGATGCCAATATTCTCCAAATAAACTCTGTAATCTGCCATGATATTGCTGATGCAAATTTCGACAAGCGCCTCTTCGTCTTTCTCATCGTAGCAATCCAATGCCAGGTCCCAGAACCTGCGCACGAAGTCCACGGGATTCTCGCCATATTTTTGATGAGTGTTGTTGAGTTGAGTGGTGGTGACTCTTTCTTCATGCTGGAAATACTTCTTACAGAACCTGCTTACCAGATCTTCCCAAGAGTATATAGAGCCTGGTGTCAACGTCGTATACCATATGTAAGCACGATCGGTAAGGCTTTTTGAAAATTCCCTAAGTCGGAGACCATAATCACCAGCATGTAGTCCCAAAGCATCGATGAAGTGATTGACATGTTCCTTCGGGCTCCCCTTCCTTCCATCAAAGAGAATAAAGTTTGGTGCTTCGTAGCCCTTAGGATATGGCTGCTGGAGTAAGCTTGATGAATACGGTGGCTGAGGAAGGTACTTCCAATCTTCTTGGCTTCGACTCAGTTCCTTTTCCAGCATGGCAATGACATCTTCTTGGGTGACAAAAGATGGTCCCTTTTGTTTAGACCTCTTTCCGGCAACAACAGACTCTTGTGGAAGTCTTTCATTTTCTTTGCTTCGCTTAGCAACAGAACTTTTCAACTCCTTGATTGTGTTTGCCATCTCCTTCTGGGTTTCCCCCATAACATGGATGGCTGCAACGAGGTCTGTAAGGGTGAAAGCTCCCTCACTTGCACGTTCTTTTTCTCTAGATGAGGCTTGTTGTCTTGGGAGGTCATGTTGTTGCTTTTGGTCTTCTTCTTTGGAAGCATTGGTGAAGATAATGGCCTAATTCCCAGTAGAGTCGCCAATTTATGTAGAGGCTTTTTTCTTCCGGCAGCTACAAATGGGCTTGTCTGCTGTAAGGAGGAAACTGAAGAAATTGTCCCTTGTGTCTAAGATCGAAAATTAAGCCCCAAAAATGCTTCGAAACGCAGTAGAGCCTTAGGAAGCATCTTGGTTACCTTCACCGACTAAAATAACAATAACTTACAGATAATTTATGCATGCTTACAGATAAAATTTTGAGCTTGGCATGAGAGGCATCTGGCATGGAAGCAAAATCAACATGAGTTTAGCACTAAGAGGAAATTTAGGCTTGCTTTGAGGGAAAAGGAAGTGTTAGGGTAAGAAAGGGGAAGTTTTGTGAGCGATTTGGCTAAGAAAAAGGGCATAGAGAACAGAGTTCTTCCGGCAGCTTGATAGATGCTCTGTCTGCCAGAAGAGAAGAATGCAGAAGAAATGTGAATAGTGCACAAGGTTGCTGGGTTTTTGCAAGGAAAAGAGGAAGCTTGCTCTCTAGATATGAGTTGGATTTGTTAGGTAGGAGAAGCCTTAATTTATAGCCACTGGAAACCACCAATTTTCAAGAAACCCCAATGGCTTTTACCCATGTTGGCTAAGATTTTCCCTAATTTCTATCTCCTCCCATGACTTTTCCCATTTTGATGAAATCTCTTCTATCTATTTGTACAAGATCAGAGTTTTTGAAGCTCAAGGCCCCTTTTTCCCGCAGCTGTCTCAATGGCAGACTTCTATTCCCAGTCATCTCTTTTATTGTTTTCTTCTCTTTTTTCCATGGCCAAGTTTGATGGGAAAAGGAGTTGGGATAAATATGTTGGTTCGAAGGGTGCTTCTGGCAGCTCGCAGGCTAATATCCCTTAGTTCCTTGAATGTTTCTTGCTTGGAACTTGCTCCCACCATGTGCTAGAACCTCCAGCAGCTTTGTTCAATGAACCCTCTAACCTTCTCTTCGTGACTTCTATTTTTTTTTTTTTTTATAGCAAGGGCTGAGGTTTTTTGTGGCTTATTGTAGAGTTTTGCATGGGCCAAGGTGGTTCATTAAATAAGTGGACTATTTTGTTAAACATTGGGCTTTGGAGTCAATAGGCTATTTGGGGCTATTTGGGCTATTTCTTTTCCCTCTTGTGCTCACCCATATGTTTGGGCCTAAGAAATGGGCTTGAGTCCCGAGGCTCCCAAGCAACCCGAGACTTTCCATTTCTCGGCCCATCAATGGGCCTCATGTTGATTCCTTACCGTCCATATCACAACCCACTCAAGCAAGCCCCGGGTATTTGAGCGGCTTGGGCCTGCTTAGGCTTGTAGCGTGGTTGGGTGCGGAATAATAATTCCTTGCTTGGCATGGCATGTCGCTTGGCGTGCTTCAATTTTATCATCCTTGAAGAGGGACATGGTGCTTAGTTTAGCATGGGCTTGTATTTTATAATATTATTTCAATCATTGGCATGACATATCGCTTGGCATGCTTTTAATTATTATGCTTGACGGGATAATTAGCATGGATTTGCAAAGATAATGCAATTTATAATCTTAATCTCGATTCCTAGCATGACGGATTATTTATTTGGCATGACGCGTGGAGTGTGACTCGTGCATGGCGGATTTTTGTGTGCTCCAAGTCAGGTTTTTTCTCAATAAGGTATTGCGCTGGGCCAAGCCGTGGATTTTTTTGCCCTTAAGGGCCTCAACACCTTTCTATTGTAAATTACGATATTATGAGTTTAGGAATACACTTTATAAGTCCAAGTAATTGTAAAATTGGTCCTTAATATTGTAAACCGTTGTGTTTACAAGAATAAGTTTCACAATTACTTCTCCAATGTCCATCCTTACCTTAACATTGTAAGATAGATCTTTTCTAATGTAAATTATAGTATTATAAGATTATGGAGTATAAGGAAACTTAACTTTGTAATTATGGTGCAGAAACACGTACATGGGAACCTAAATCTTGTAATATACCAGATTAGGGATCTATTTTGTAAGTTTATGGAACGTTTACATCCATCCCATTGTAATATGAGTCCTTATTGTCGTAAACCGTTGTGTTTACAAGAATAAGGACCAAGTTTACATGTTCAAGGTCCACCCCTGTCTTAATATTGTAAGAGATGTCCTTTCTATTGTAAATTATGATATTACAAGTTTATGGATATACTTTATAAGTTCATGGAACTTTGACGTCCAAGTAATTATAAATGGGTCCTTAATACTATAAAGCCTAGTGTTTACAAGAATAAGTTTCACAATTACTTCTTTAAGGTCTACATTTACCTTAATGTTGTAAAGGGGATCATTTTCTTTGTAAATAAGTATTACAATGTTATGGATTAGGATTCACCTTAATGTTGTAACGGAGGTGCAAAGTCTCGTAAATGCAAAACCAAATATTGTAATGTACAAACTTAAGGATATGATTTTACAAGCTTTTGGAATGCATATGTCCATGACAGTGTAAAAGTAGTCCTTAATGATGTAAACTCTTGTGTTTACAAGCCTAAGGACCCAATTTTACTTCTTCAATGTCTACTCTTACCTTAGCATTGTACTATGGGTCCTTTTCTCTGTAAAAAAAATTAAGGTATAATATATTTATATATATATTTCATTTAATATTTATTTATAATTCTATATTATTAATACAGAATTATTATATTTGATTATTTTTATTATATATACATATTTTAAACACAAAACAAAAAAAATTAAAAAGAAATCGCATTGAAGACATGAAGAAAAAAATTCGATGAGTAATTGGTTGATTTTGCAAAGAAGTATTTATATGATCATGTGCTTGTGTATGATAGTGTTCTTTTGCTTAGCAATAATATGTTATATTATATGCAAATATAGACTATACTTTAAATTAAGAATCAATTTTATAAAAATCTATATTCTTAGATTTTAAATTATTAGCAATAATATGTTATATTGTATGCAAATATAAACTATACTTTAAACTAAGAACAAGTTTATAAAAATCTATATCCTTAGATTTTAAAATATTTGGTGAAATAACATTTGTATATTTTTTTTTATGTATTTTATGCACACAAAATTGTCAATGAACAAGACATATATTTTATAAATGGTAATCAAGATGTTATCATTATTACTTAAAATTGAAATTTAACATAACCACAAATAAATAAATATTTGACATGTAAAAATCTAATGTTTTACTAACTACTTTTTGAAACTTTAGATCATTGTATTATTTTTCTTTTACTAAAATATTTGGTTTTTTATTTATAGAAATCATTTACATCCTAATTACTGGTGGAGTAATAGAGGAATAGTAGAAGTGAGATTAGTGGAAGAAAAACATGGAACAAATTTTTTAATCCCTATTATTATTATTTTAATCTAAATATATTTAAAATTTCTGTTTATTGTAATTTTTTTTAAAATTTATATTGGGTTTTTCAGTTAATTACATTCTTACTTAAAGTTTCATATACATAAACATCAATCCAAAAGAGAAGGTAATAAATAATAATAAAAAACTAGCCTACTATTTATATTGGTTTGTTTTTTCTCTTTCTTCCTTCACCGGTTGTATGGATTGGTGGGATTCAATTTCAGTGTTTGTTAAGAGCCATAGATTCAAAGTGATCTAATGGCTGAAATTTGGGCGCATCCATGCTCCCGGTGCATGGTAGAATTTTCGCTAGAGATATTTCAAACAAAGATGCCGAACTGACATGACTCAGACCAAGTCACCACAAGATTTGTTTCACTAACCTGAAAAAATAAAATGAAATAAAAGAGAGTGGAGGAGGGAACCTCCCTGCTCAGCAGGCAACACATTTAATAATATAGATAAATGTCACTACTTTTAATAATTATAGATAAATATCAATCCTGCAGACGACTTTGGAGTGATTGATTTGGCTTCATCCCCGCTCATCAATCATCCCCATTTTCCTTGATTATTTTGCATGAGCTGTGTCCATAAAAGGAGGTGGATTTCTCGATCCTCAATTACGTAAGAGCCATAAGCATTACCATAATTAGAAAACATAGCTGTGATGGGAATGGAATCGTGGCCGTCAAAGTTTATTTATGTACGTTGTTTTCTTTTGCTATTACTCAATGTCACTCACTGTTTTTTACTTGTACAGACTCAGGCACTTGGCCAGGTTGATGAGTGCTCAGCCTTGCTACAGTTCAAGGAAAGCTTCGCAATTAACAAGTCTGTTTCTGCATATCCTCTTGCTTATCCGAAGGTTGCATTTTGGACGCTAGAAGGAGATCAAAATCGGAGTAATTGTTGTTCATGGGATGGTGTAGAGTGTGATGAGGACTCTGGCCATGTTGTTGGCCTTAACCTCAGCAGCAGCTGTCTCTACGGTTCTATCAATTCCAGCAACACTCTCTTCCGCCTTGTTCATCTGCAGAGGCTTGACCTCTCAGATAATCACTTCAATTTCTCTGAAATACCATCAAGGTTCGGTCAAGATCTTTCGAGTCTAACATATCTCAACCTTTCAAATTCCTTGTTTTATGGCCAAATTCCATCAGAAATTTCAATACTGTCGAAGCTGTCTACCCTTGATCTGTCTCACAATTCATGGAAACTTCATCCTGATATTATCCCTTTGAAACTGACCAAGGGATACATGAGAAGCCTGGTTCGAAACTTGACCAACATAAAACAACTTCATCTTAGTGAGGTAGACATTTTCTCCACTGTGCCTGATATCTTGGTCAATGCATCTTCTCTCACATCTCTCCAACTTCGCTTTTGTGGGTTGAATGGGGAATTCCCAATTGACATCTTCCACCTACCAAACTTAGAGGTTCTGGATGTGTATGGTAACTCAAACCTTACCGGTTATTTCCCTAACTTTAACAGGAGCAATAAACTCTTGAAGAAATTGAATGTTGCGTTCACAAATTTCTCTGGCATGCTGCCTGCTTCTATCGGAAACCTCCATTCCTTAAATTTGTTGGACATCTCCTATTGTAATTTTTCCCACTATCTTCCATCTTCACTCGGAAACCTTACCCAGCTCAACTACCTTGACATGAGTGGAATATTTTATGACGTTCCAAATAATAATTCCACAGGCCAATTAGTTTCTGAATATTCCTTGTCTTGGATAGCGAGTTTAACCAACCTCTACAGTTTGTCCCTTGGGGCCACCAAATTCAGGGGAAAATTCCCAAGTTTTGTGGCTAACCTCACGCAACTTTCATTTCTAAACTTGGGTGTTAACGAAATAACTGGTCAAATCCCGTCTTGGCTTATGAATTTGACCCAGTTAACTACTCTATACCTCACGGGTAACAATTTGAGCGAAGCAATTCCTAGGTCACTCTTCCAGCTCCAAAATCTTGAAATTCTTGACCTTTCCTATAATAACTTGAGTGGACAAGTTGAGTTTGATCAGTTTTCCCAGCCCAAAAAGTTAAAGGAACTTTATTTATCATACAACAAGTTATCTCTGCAGATCATAACCAATTTGAGTGCTACTATTCCACAGCTTGAAGTTCTAAAGTTGTCTTCATGCAACTTAATAGAGTTTCCAGAATTTTTAAAATATCAATCGGAATTGCGAGAGTTACAACTTAGCGACAACAACATTCAAGGGCGAATACCAAAATGGGTGTGGAATGCAACTAGAGAAACTTTGTTGACTCTCGGCCTCTATTCCAACTTCTTAACAGGATTTGACCAAAATCCAATCAATCTTCCATGGCAGAATCTATATTCTTTAGATCTCCGGACCAATATGTTACAAGGATCACTGCCAATTCCACCACAATCAATCAGAAACTATATGGTCGGCAGCAATAATTACAGTGGAGAAATTTCACCCTCGTTCTGCAACTTGAATCATTTGAACATTCTTGATTTGTCCAACAACAGCCTGAGCGGCATGCTTCCACAATGTTTGGGGAACTCCAGTGCTCTTGGGATATTGAAGCTGACGAACAATTCTTTTCATGGCGGTATTCCTCAAATGTGTCCAGATGAAAATAGTTTGAAAATGGTTGATTTGAGTTACAATCAGTTACAGGGGAAGATACCAAGATCAATGGCGAATTGCACTCAGTTAGAGTTTCTTAATCTTGGAAACAATCAGATAAGCGACATCTTCCCATCTTGGTTAGGAGCACTTCCAGCACTACAGTTTCTCAGTTTGAGGTCTAATGGATTTCATGGCATGATTGGGAAGTCTGCAACTAACCATGACTTCCCAAAGTTGTGCATCATTGATTTATCTGACAATGGTTTTTCAGGTGTGTTGCCCTCTAACTACTTAGAGAACTGGAATTCCATGAAATTTGTTGACGAGAATTCTAGAAAAGTGTCCAAAGCTAAAAGGAAGCCTGCCTTGTGATCTGCCTTGCTTGAAGAAGCTTAGCGTGAAAGGGTGTGGGGTTTTACATGATCAAAGGGCCACTGCTACTACTAGTACTAGTACTAGTACTAGTCTCAACTACAATTCTCTTGAAAAATTGGAAATAGAAGATGGATGCCAAACAGGTCTGTTATCATTACTAGAGACAAAGCTCCTATCCCGACTTTACATTGGACGTTTTAATGACATACAGTGCTTGCCCAACCTCAATCGTCTTAAAAGTTTTAGTCTCGCTAATTGTCCGACACGTTCCCTGAAGATAGCCTACCCACTTTGTTGACTTCACTTCAGATACACAGGTGTAGGAGATTAGAATTCCTACCTCAGACGTTGGTTCAATTAACATCGCTCCGCTATTTGAGTTTAGAGAATAGCTGTGATTCATTGAGGTCCTTCCCATTGGGCATTTTTCCCAAATTGATGTCG